CTTGCCCCTTTCCCCATGCCAGGGGTTCCCTAAGTGTTGGGCATGCACCCCTGAGAAGGCGCAATTGGTTTGGGGGGGGGTTGCATGTTGTTCATATGAAAAACATGGTTTGGTTGGGATAGTTCAGTTGTCATACAATACTACAGAATTCAAACTCACAGAGCAGTGTTTCTCAACCACCAGGCTGTGGGCCCCATAATGGGCACTCAACTTATAGAAAAAAGAATTTAGCAGGCTGTGGTCTAACAAAGGTTGAGAGCCATTGGCAGTTTTAGGAAGTAAACAACAATACAAGTCTGCATACCCTTAGGGGTTTACCTTGTGGCTCTGTGAGGAGTCCTAGCAAATTTACTGTTAAACCAACTAGCTTGATTGTTGTTAAGGCTGAAACTGTGATACTCATTGCTGGGACAGACATGGTACAAACATAGTTCGGTGAAAAATGTGCTCAGCAGCTTTGTGATGTACCCCTCACAAATAACACGGTGTCTCTACAGATTGCTGATATATCAGAAGACATAGAAGAACAGCTGATTGAGGTGAGAAACATTCTTCAATACAGACTGACAAAGTGACTGATTGTAGTGCTACTGTGTAACCGTCCATTCTGACTGGAGGAGTGTTGTGTGAAAATTAAATTTGTATTAAGTTAAGANATGAAGACATGCTTTTCTGCAAACCTATAAAAAGAAGAGCAACAGCACAAGAACTCTTCAAAACTGCTGAGGACTTCAGGACAGAAAAATGCATAAAGTGGTCAGACTGTGTTGATGTATGCATGGATGCAGCTTGCGTAATGGCGGGAAATAACAAAGGACCGCAGGACTTGATTAAATGATCAGCAGCAGAGGCTATGTGGACACACTGCACGATACATCATGAATCACTGGCCATGAAGAAATTATGCCCAGAACCGAGTGAAGTGATGGATACAGTGAAAAAAGACTTTTTGCAGAATTGTGTGAGGAAATGGGGGCACAGTATCAGTTGCTTCTGTTTTACATTATTTCCCATTGGCCATCAACAGAAAACGCTGTGGCTCGTGTTTACAACTTGCAAGACGGAGCAGCACTGATCTTGGAAGAGGAAAATGTAGCATATGCTGAACATCTTGTAAATTCACAGAATGAAAACAATGTGGAAACAAGTGACACTGGAACCGATCAGCGTATCAAAGATTACTTGTTTAATCTGCATTCAGGTTTTCTAAGTATTTTCCAGAAGCAGTAAGTGATAAATGGATCATGGATGCATTTCCTGCTGATCCCCCCCAGAATTATGACTTTTCACTTGAAGAAGAAAACTATACTGACATTATATTTGACACTCCTTTAAAAGTTTGGTTTCCTACAAGTTGTATATAGAATTTTGGGTGCCTAGTGGGCAGGAAGGCCCTCACCTCAGCAGGAAAGCTTTGAACAATCTCCTTCCTTTCACAATATCCTACCCGCGCGAGACTGCATTTTCAGCAGTGGCAGCCATCAAAACAAAGTACTATTCTATGATGAACCTGGAAAATGACCTCAGAGCAGCCATTTCAAAAGTCCAACCTTGATATGATAAGTTATGTTCAAACAAGCAACCATATCCATCCCACTAATCCAGGTATGAAACATGTATTTCAGTTCAGTCAAATTAAATTAAATGCAATGAATGATACACAGTAAAATATATACTCACATCTATATTTTATGTCAAATCTGTCTGCACTTGTTCTGGGGGGGGGGGCAAATTTATGAACAGTTTTAAGGGGGAGCATAACATATAAAAGTTTGGGATCCTCTGCCCTGGGAATATCCCAAGCAAGCACTGCTGACCTGCACACACACTTGGCATGTTGTCCCAGACTCCCCTGGCCATGAATCCCACCCGATATTGCTATGTGCCCAATACTACCATAAGACAGACATGACACGTACCTTTAGTATGTGTCTCCTTGCAGACAGCGCACAGGCGGAGACAGAGATGAAGCTGCATACTCCTTGCTCACTCAGAAACTCGACATTCTTCAGGGCTGGAAACAACTTCACTGGATATTCCAGGGCTGCCAACATACAGTAATAACTATATTGAGCCATATGAGCAGTAATGTGAATACATCATCATCACTGGTCATAATTTGCCAGTTTCTGGAAATGCATAATCTTATGAGTCTGCATCCATCCTTCTGCGCCACTAAATTTAGCAGCAATGTGTGGGAATGGCTTATTTGGTTTGAGATGACAATTTGAACAAATTTCAAGACTCAAAACTGAGAATTTCTCCAGTAGGCATATCTTTTCATGGTAACCACAACTAACAAATGCATTAAGGGGTATTGCTTATTCCTTTTAATTAGCAGTTCAGTGAGAGAGAGAGACACTGTGTCATGTGATCTCTGCCGGCACTGCTAACTGTTATAAATTTGACAGACTGGTGGTAATCTGTGTGCCATGGTGCCAAGCATGACCAGTTAACTCAAAATTCCTGAAATGAAAAACCAATATTTGATTGTATCCTGAAGATACGAGGGGGTACCCAAAAGAAACCGAACTTATTTTTTTTTAAATTTATTCAAATTTTAAGCACAAACCTTCAATCCCCTTCAAAGTACTCTCCACTTACACTAATACACTTGTCTAGTCTTTTATTCCATTTTTCAAAACACTGTCTAAATTCATCTTCTAAGATGCTTGACAGCGCCTCCATCGTTTTTTCCTTTCATGTCTCTTTTCGAGGAAACAAAAAAAAGTCGCACAGGGCAAGGTCGGGTGAGTATGGAGGGCGAGGAACAGGGTTCATACCATTTTTGGTCAAGAACTGTCGTACAGACAGGGCTGTGTGAGCAGGGGCAGTCATGATGGAAAAACCAGTCACCCTACTGCCACAAATCTGGCCGCTGAGCTCCAAGTCACTCCCGACAGCTCCACAATTTCTTCAATGGTCCGTCGTCGATCTTCCTTGATGAATTCACGAATTTTTTCAACATTTTCATGTGTTCGGGCCATTGCAAAAACGACTATCACACAAAACAGTTGTCACTATAAACTCTGCCGAAACTAGTCCTTACCTTCTGAAGCAACGGTAGTCGGCTTATCGACTCAGGAATGTTAGCTCTATGCGCTCATAGCGGCAAAACGCGGTACTACAAAAGCTCTGCCCACAAAAAAATTAGTTTGGTTTCTTTTGGGTCCCCCATCGTATGAGGCTCACACATGCTTAGAAATTAGCAACGTAAAAGACACTAACCGTTAGATTATGCATAGTTCCTGAGTGATAACCAGAAATGGGAAAACTTGCTGGTTGCTCTGTCAGACATGAAGGGCTCCTTATGGATGTCACAGGTCTGGGTACAGTGCCATATCAAAATGGTAAAGATTACCGACATTCTATCTCTGACACTAGAGGAAGCTCCTCTCAAATGTCGCTAAGCTTTATCATTTCAAGAGTGTTATAACCTAAGACCCTATAAGGAGCCTGAACTGTCGTGAAGTCAACAGTCTTGTGATCTCTCTGGTGCTACTTCCGCAGTATGACAGCGTAACATGTCTCACCAGTGATGGCTTCCCAGGCCTGTTAACAAACAGGATACATGAGCCATCACATCGGTGCACATTGCAATGAATCAAGTACAGCCTAACCCAGCCCAATGCAGCAGTCTGTAACAATCACTAGTATCTGATGTGACACACACCTCTCATACAGGGGCTCCTCACAGGCAGTCCACAGGTCAAGAGGATGATACTGCATCGTTCTTCATGACTGGAAACAGCTTCCCTTCACATACACCAGTCCAGGACCACCAAAAAACAGCAACAATCACAAACAGCTTTACAAACAATAAATCTGAACAGGATATATAATATAATTTGTCACAGTTTCTTATTTTCATTGACCTGTGAGTTAAGTAAGGACAGTCTTCTCCTCAAAAGACACTAACCTTAATACACAGACTCCTACTAGTTCCTGTGCAATAATAGGGAACAGAAACGTGTTGCTCACTGTTCGTGTGAAGTCAAAGAGCTTCTTACTGGAGAAGAAGAGTGTCCTGTGTCCAGGCAGAGTGCTATCTCCCACCTATGACATCACAGAAATCGTCACAAAGTTCTCCCAAACATCCTACAAGGAAATATGAACACTCGTAACGTCCCATGCATGACTTCCTGAACCTGATACCATGACACTGTGTTTCAGCATCCTGTTGCATTGATGTATCACTATATGCACTTACTTCCATTAAAGATGGAACTTAAGCATGTAAAGTAACAACATACTGCTATTCCAACAAACTTCAGTATTTACCCCTCATTTTGAATTTCCACATGCATTATCATGATCCGCATCCCATATGCTTCACATCTTCCTTACAAAGAGTTAGTACAGGTAACTTCTGGGATGATCTTCCCTGGTCTGAGTTCAATACTGAGCAGAGGAGGGGCAGATCTCATAAACTTTGTGCGAGATTTTATATTCTCACAGCAGTGACTATAAGAGGTGCTACCTTCTGGGATGTAATGCCATAGGCTCCACTCTGCTTGCATGGCTTACTCTTTGACTCTAAAGATCAAATCAGCATATTCCTTCAAAATGTATTTTATTTTAGGTAAGTTAAATAATGCCACTCTGAGTGTTGAGGCTTTATACCTTCAACGACATGATGATTAAGTAATGTGTGGGGAGGGGGGAATAGCAGCACTTGAAGAAAACCTGTCCCAGTTCCACACTGTCTACCACAAATCCCACATTACTTGACCTGGGATTGAACCCGGGTTATGGTATTGTTTTCAAATGTTGCTAAGATTCTAAGAACCTAGATGACATCACATCCCAGATTCTCCATGCTCAGTCTGACATTGACAATGACAAACATAACGAACTGCTACTTCTTAACTGACATCCTCTTGTCCCCAGGGCTATCAACAAAAGATGATTATTGTTGAAGGCTTACACAATGTACATAATTTACATGGCATGGATCATCACTGGTACTGTCAAAATGTTACACAGAACGTGGAATTAAAATATAAGAACGTTAAAGACATAAAATAATAATAAGCAATTATATTTCAACTTCTAGAACCTGTGTGTACTGAGTGAGGGCAAGTTCTGTATCCATATTGTGGATGTCTGGAATACTGCATAAATATTAATACTAATACTATCGTCTCAGAATCACCAGTAACTCACGTGCTATTCGAATAGCCATCCTAAACTATTCATTTTCGCCTCCTAAATATATATATAACTAATATCACTTCTTCCTCACCTGCTAAAATCTTATTGGAAACTTTTGGACATTATTACTACAATTATAAACACTTTGTAATCCCTGGATTGTTCTACTTGAAAGAAACGACCCACTTCAAGTAAACTTCTAAAGCCGCCATTTTCCGCACGACCACACCTCACAAATCAGCCAATAAAAACGCTCCCCTGTAACACAGAGTAAGGAATTTTTCGTCTTCTTCTTCTTCTTCTTCTTCTTCTTTCCAACATGTGATGTCAGGTTACATTATTCTCTCTGCCTAGCGAAGTTATTCTTACAGAGCCATCTACTGTCATCGCTCTCAAATAATTCAAAGCGCATGGCGCGAGCAGTGTCATGCTGTTGAAAAGCTACTGAGCACTCGCTCAGCTACTCAAGAAATTTACCATCCTTCATGGAATCAAACAGATCATCAGCATGTTTACTAGAGCTTCCCATTGTACCCCTTCATAAGCTAGTCCATATCAGTGTCTCCCAAATGTCATCTTCCTTCAGGTCTTACTGTAATTTTGCATTGGTTTTTATACTCTACTCAGTAACTTGTTCTCTTGGCGGCCCGGGTTTGATCTCGGGGTACCTGTGACGTTTTTATGTCACATGTTACAGGTGGTAATGACGCCGTCCTCGGTGAGGTTGGCCGAACCACGGCTGTGTCTTTTGTTGGGATGCATCATGGAACAGGGATGCATTGGGACACAGCTATCGGCATCTCCTCGTGGTCCCGCCGGACAATGACAGTGCTATGCTGGAAAGCAGAACCATAGCTGCCACATTATCAGGAGAGACCCTGGGGGCGTCCGCGTCTATGGGGTGTCCGCAAGGGGGCATGCTCTCGCCTCTGCTGTTGAGCCTGGTAATTGATGATCTCCTGTGGGGACTTAATGATGATGGGTATTATACAGTAGGATATGCTGAGGACACAGCAATCCTCATAAATGGAAAATTCCTTTCAACAGTATCAGAGCATCTTCAAACAGCTCTGTACATGGTCCAACAATGGTGTGAAAGAAGAAGCCTTTCCATCAATCCTAATAAGACGGTAATTATACCGTTTATTATGAGGAGAAATATAAAGGTCCTTAAGGAACCGACCCTCTTCAATAAGAAGATACAGATCTCCAGTGATGTCAGGTACCTTAGTCTAGTATTAGACAAGGGACTGACATGGAAAAAGCAGCTGGACAAGGTCAGCAATAAAGCCTATAAGGCTTTTTGGGCATGCAGAAGCATGTTAGGTAAAACTTGGGGACTGCAGCCACATGTTGTGCATTGAATATGCACTACAGTTGTAAGACCTATAAATACATACGGCGCCACAGTATGGTGGCCCAGAGTTAAACTCAAGACAACCAAGGCAGAACTTAGCAAATTGCAAAGGTTGGCTTGCTTGGGTATCACAGGAACAATTCGAACATCTCCAGCATCTGCACTGGAGACACTCCTTGGACTCCCCCAACTACATCTACAGTTGGAGGCAGAGGCCAGGGCAGGAATCTACCGTCTCCAGTGCAGTGAACAATGGAAATCTAAATCCGATAGTTTTGGACATGCATACATAAATCAGGACATGAAAAAAGAACCCATATTACAAATGGGGTCTGACAAAATGATACTGAGACATGTATATGGAAAACTCTTCACAGTCAGATTTCCTGACAGGAATGAATGGGAAGACGGGTTTCGGCCCAATAGAAAAGAGGGACTGATCTGGTATACAGATGGTTCCAAGATAAATAAGGGCACTGGAGATGGTGTGTTCTGCAATGGCACGAGGTGGAAACTTAGTTTCAACCTTGGGCAATACACGGCAGTATTCCAGGCAGAAGTATATGTCATTAAGGCATGTATTATGGAGAATCTAGATAGGAACTACAGAAATAGGAACATCTACATTCTATCTGACAGCCAAGCTGCACTTTAAGCGCTTGACAATCACCAGTTCAACTCAAAATTGGTCTGGGATTGCCACCAGACCCTCATGGAACTGGCCAAACATAACAGGGTACAACTGATATGGGTGCCGGGTTATTGCTGGAAATGAAACAGCAAATCAATTGGCTAAGATTGGAGCTGAACATCTGTTCATAGTATCTGAACCAGCCTGTGGCATCTCTATAGGAGTTGCCAGAAAGGCAATCAGGGACTGCACAAATATGAATCACAAGAAATAATGGGGATCCTTGACTGGACTCAGGCAAGCAAAGGGACTCATACAAGGACCCTCTACTAAAAGAGCGAAGGAACTGTTGAAGCTAAACAGGAACCAGCTACAATGGGTGGTAGGACTACTTACAGGACACTGTCACCTCAAAGGACACCTCTTCAAAATGGGATTAAGTAATAGTCCAACTTGTGAGATGTGTCAAGAAGAAAATGAAACAGCCACACATATCCTGTGCAAATGTGAGTCCTTAGCTTATTTAAGATTACATCACTTGGGTCAATATTTTATGGAACCAAGTGACTATTTCAACATCCCCACATACAAATTCCTGCACTTCATTCGAAGTGCAGGATTGTTGAGGGGATAATCAGATGGGGAGGCACAATAGATCACTGTGCTTGCGGTGCAAGGACCAAGAAGGCCCACCTCTTATACATTCATTCATTCATTCATTCATTCATTCAACTTGTTCTCTTCTTACATTCCTAATCCCCAAGCCAAATCACACAGGAGAGCATGCAACATTATAGCTTGAAGGTGCCAACCTTCTGCTTTACAAAGTAATGTTAAGCGTCCACATTACACGGTGTTGTCCAGGATTGCAAATTATAACCATGTAAAACGTAATATGCTAAAGGATGACGATACAAGCTATTATTCCACATAAGGCAGTGCTCTCCATCGTTATTGTCAGAGTCGGCTAAGGCTCTTAGGTACTAATCGTGATTTCATTCGATTATTCTTTAAACTGGACTGATTTCCGTAAATTTTGCACTAGCCTGATAAAGGAGATTTTCGAAACTGTAGTTAGCACTAAGTTCAACATAACCCTGTAATGCTTCTTGTCACTTGGATAATACTTACTTACTTACTCATGGAGCTGAGCCCTTCTTGAGGAGCCGCCAATTCTGCAGCTACTCAAGAATTTCCCAGCATTTTATGGAACCCGAAAGTTCATTGCCGTGTTCACAAGAGCCCTCCGCTGGTCCCTATCTTGAGCCAAATCAATCCAATCCCTACCATCCCATCCTATATCTCTAAGATCCATTTTAATATTGTCCACCCACTTACGCCTTGAACTTCCTAGCAGTCTCATTCCTTCTGTGTTTCCCACCAATATCCTATATGCATTTCTCGTCTCACCCGTTCGTGCTACATGCCCTGTCCATCTCATCCTCCTTGACTTGATCTTTCTAATTATACTTGGAGAAGAGTACAAGTTATGAAGCTCCTCATTATGCAGTTTTCTCCAACCTCCTGTCACTTCATCTCTCTTCGATCCAAATATTCAAACACCCTCAGTCTATGTTCCTCCTTAATAATAGAACAAAATATTAATACTGCAAAAATATGATTATTCCTATAGTCAAGAGACTGCCTTTTGTTTGGCCAGTTAACATCTGAGCCAGTATTCCTCAGTCTTGTTATAGGCTTGTAAGGTTTGAGGTTTTCACGGCGGGGGCTATGAAGAATGCCGTCTTCTGGTATGTGGCGCCGTGTAGAGATTGAGTATAGAGGGGGTGGGTTTCCCCATGCACTTAGACCGGTTATTGGTCCATTGTGCGTCCCCCTTTTTAATTTCTACTGTCTCCATACCCTACCGGTACTGGTGCTCATTATTAGCCCCTTTCTGCCAGCGAAGTGCCAACCTTCTACTGGCAGTGGTATCTAATAGTTAGTCCCTTTCTGTCAGAGAGGTCCCCCCTAATCTGGCAGTGGTACCTAATACTTCCCCATCTACCGGAGGCATTGGAAACTACTTTGGGTGGGAAACAATTTTGCCAAATTTAGCTCAGAGGTCTCCTAGAGACATGAGGTTCTTCTACGTGCCGTAAAGTGCTTAAAGTCCCTCCCGGAGGACTTGTTCCCTGAATTTTTCTGCCCTTAAAAATTCCACGACCTCCGCCGGGTTTTAACCCGCGTACCTTGAGTCACGAGGTGGGAACGTTACCCCTAGACTACGGAGGCCGCTTGCCGTGTAGAGATACTCGTAGTATGTAGTTTATACTATGTCAACACGGCGCCACATCCCAGAAGACGGCATTCTTCTAGTTGTTATGAAGTTTCGCCTAATTCCGTACAATGTTCTTCATTATTACGTATAATTTGCATAAGTTATTCGTGGCGCGAGACAACTTGTTTCGAACAAAGTTGTCTGACAGGAAGGAAGCTAGGGTGTGTTCGTCGTGTCCAGGCATATCATCATCCGAGTGAGACATCGGACAGCTATATAAACCGAGGAGTGTCCCATGTGAAGCCACTCAGTGACCATCGGTCGCCATCATGGACAGGTGTCTTCAGGTAAGGCATCTTCGCCCTACTTATAATTTTAAACGTTCACTTGTCTATGTCGAAAGAGGATTGCAAAGGAGTAATCGCATCCTAAGAATAACTAAAATTATTTTGAAAATGCTCTCATACTTTGCTGTCATTGAAGTTAATTTATAGCTGACACAAATCATTATTGCAAATGCAAGTCCACTGTCACGATATTTATCACAGATATGAATATTCCTAAACTCATAAACTGTTTTTGTTTCTCGTTAGATACACATCAAGTCTAATAAGAAATTGTAATTTTTCCCTTCGGGATGGCATAAAATAAGTTGGTTTACATTTGAAGACCGTTTTCTTTCCATGTACTCTATATGTAATCGAAGGAAGTTCATATTCTGTATTGAAAAAATCAAACCAAAAGCCAATACAGAGAGTGTAACACTTTACTGTTTTATCTGTGACTATGGCCCTGAATGGAAGTGACTTTTTTGTTGAATTCTGAATGGTCCACTGGGCATGTCTTCATCATCCAGTGAAAGTGGTGATTGGATTACAGGTACTTTCTATGGCGCATTCTTAATAGGCGCCGATCAAATTGGCCGCGCGGTCTGAGGCATGAACTGTCTTCGTTCGCTCGAAAGCTGGAATCGTGGATTCGAATCCCACTCAAGGCATGGATGTCTGTGTGTGTGTTTATTCTGTGTTTGTGTTGTCCTGTGTGGGTAGCGGCCTTGCGACGGGCTGATCACCCTACCAAGGAGTGTATAGGATTAAGAAACTGAAAAAGCGGCCAAGGTCTAACACAGGACTGTAGAGCCATAGATGGTTAGATTCTTAATAGGTATTGTTACTACACTAGTGATTTTATCGAAATCGGTGGTATATTTTACATTTATTGTGTAAGACATTACATGTGTGTTTTATGGATACGTGCAACATCGCTACAATACAGTTCTCTCTGAGATGAATACTTGGCAAGAGAGAGTGCTGTGTCTAATGCCAAAAGTGACGTTCCTTTAAAAAATTAAATTAAGTAAATTAACACTTTTATGCTTTAATCTGCTCAAAATAATATTTAAAAATTCAGTTTCTACTTTGCAGAGAACACAATGCGTTTTCATTACAAAGGCGATTCGTTTAATGCTGTTGGGGAAATAATGGCTATTCGTTTCCAGATCATACAAAACCCGCACATGCGCCCCGCGGAGTAATGAAGAGACTTCAACGTATCGCAGGATCACGTACTTAACTCAACTCAGACGCAAGTGGTGCGACGTCAGTGATAAAAACATTTGAGGGAACCATTTTGTGCCCGTATGTTTTTAATATATACGTTGATTCCTAAACTCTTTGGTTACACTACCCAGAGCGTAGTCTCTTTACTGAATGAGCTATCATGTTCCAAAAGCATAAACCGTAGACACAATTAAAACACACAAATTTTATTTGAGATATTTTGTAAATTTGAGAAATGTAAAGAAAAAATAATGGCTTTAGAGAATGTCATACTTACAGTGGCACTTCCTGACACTAGAAGTGGCGGTTATATCATTATGACTTGGTTTCAGATTTGAGGTTTTCACAGCGAAAAAGCTTTCAGGAACTTACCATCCTGTGGGTTATGTTGCTATATAGCCAGCAGGATGGAAACATTGTGAATCACTGGCAATATATCTATTCCGGTGCGACTGGGCAAGACGTGACATTTCAAAATGAAGATATGTCGTTAATGTTTAACATAAAACTAAACTGCATATAATTAAAGAATCGCGCGTATTAAAAAAAAAAGAAGAGAAGATTTGCCTTTACTACGTGGGGAATGTGTTGCCTTTTTCGCAAAATTACAGGTTGGAAGGTGTGAAAGGTTCAGAACCAGTTCTGTATACACGCGGTAGTGTAGATGGTTGAGGCACTATGCTACAAGCTGGAAGGTTGTGGGATCGAATGCAAATGAGGTGGATTTTTTAAATTTACCCAATCCTTCCAGCCGCATTATGGCCCTGGGGTTGACTCAGCCTTTAACAGAAATGAATACCAGGAATTTTCCTGGGAGGTAAAGGGCGGTCGGCGCGAAAGGCTGACAACCTTACCGCCATCTGTGAGCCGATTGTCTAGAGAAAATGTAGGAGCCTCAACATCTCACAACCCTATGGGCCTCCACGACCTGTTACAGGGATACCTTTACTTTTACTTTTTATATATCTCGTTGTTCTGTTTCACAGATATTGCTCTGCGCAGTCGCCATCGGCTTTGTCCACTCCAGGCCTGGTATATTTCGCGTGATTCCCGTCGGCCTCTCCAGCCAGTACCACGCTCAGGATGCTCTCGGACAATACAGCTATGGGTACAGTGACGGTCTGTCTAGCAAGAATGAGGTCAAGACATATGACGGTGTGACCCGTGGAGAATACTCTTACGTGGACTCCAACGGAATCGTCCAAAGCGCTACCTACACAGCGGACGCTGTCAATGGCTTCAAAGTGTCGACAACTAACCTACCCGTGGCACCTAAAGCTGCTCCTGCAGACGTACCCAGTCCCGTTCAAGACACCCCCGAAGTCGCGGCGGCCAAAGTTGCCCATAAGGCAGCCCATGACGCAGCTGCAGTCGCCGCATCTGCTCAACAGCTTCCTGTACTCGGCTCTCCTGCCGTTGTTCCCGGTGGTTTCGCTTACACTATATACGCCGGAGTTCCGGGCTTTGTGTCTTACTCGTCTGTAGTACCTGCTGCTCTTCCTGGAGTTCCTGTCGATACACCGGAAGTTGCGGCTGCAAAAGCAGCCCATCTTGCGGCCCATGTTGAAGCTAAGTTGAGGAACCTTGGTTGAAGAAACTGAAATAGAGGCATCCATATTTACTTGTAAATGGTTCATTCTTTGGCTGGCTTAGAAAACTCTGTTCTAACTACTGCATGCTGTATGACGAACAGACGTAAATTCGACGTGAAAATGCTCTCTTTGCTTTATTAGTCTTCCCTAATACTATCTTTCAGCATCCCGTTGCGTTCAGGTATTATCCTTATTATTAAAGCATCCGTCAGTAATGACAATGATGATACACAAGTGAACAGTGCAGTGGTCTCCCCGAAAATCAAAAGGAAAATTGCCTGATGACGGTTCATGTGCGGCCGAAACATATTGTAAAGTGAGAAGAAACCTATGTTAAACTAAAGACGTTTTAATAATTTTATCACTTTTAAGTTTATAAGTTATACTTTTAGTGTCTTAGTGACATTTTATGATTTTAACAACATTGGAAAGTATTAAAGTTACACTTTTAGTGAGGAACATATTTTAGATGTCTTTTATATTAAAAAAAAATATTGTTGCATTATTGACGGGTGCAATAATAAGGATAATTACGCAAAATAATTTAATACTAAATTTAAAAAAATTATGCTGCAAAAATCACAATTCAACTTTGTTTATTACATAAGCAGAATTTACATCTTAATTCTAATTATTCAGAAATGATTCCTTTTGGTCAAAATATCCCATGACCGTTGACCGACTTCACGCCTTTATCACTAAAGACCTATTGTGAATGGATAAAATTGTGGTTTGCTAAAGACGGTAACATGGCATCAATTTAGGTTTTGACTGTTATATCAGCCACTTTCTTCTTCGTTTCTTTCACTGTCACTATAGAAACACATTATTGTTCTATGAATTATATTTCCACTTCATTTTATAAAATAAATTTCAATTTAATTTACTGCTGTGACATTTAAAATCAATTCAGATCAAACACTTATTTATGATCCTTTTCAACATTATCCTCCCATCTATTCCTGTGTCTCCCAACTAGTTCCTTTCCATACGATTTTACAACTAAAATTCTTGATCGTCAGGAAAACCATCAAATGCTCGATGAAGCCACTGTCCCATGGATCAATCGGTAAAGTTGTTCTTGTCTCTGATAATTTAATTCTTCATGCTGTGTACTTTATTTTGTCTCCAAGAGCGAGAATAACTTACTACGGACCTACGTTTCAGATGTTTAAGTCAAGTTTTACTGACCGCAAAAGAGTATTCGGAAAAGTGTAATAAAAAAGTTAAACGGTTAAGCTACCCCTGCAATAGGCCGTGGAAGCGAATAGGGTTGTGAGACGTCGAGGCTCCCACATTTTCTAGACAATCGGCTCACAGATGACGGTGGGGTTATCAGCATTACGCGCCGGCCGCCCTTTATCCCTTCAATATTCTGGCATTCATTCTTGTTAGAGGCTGAGTAGACCCCAGGGCCATAGTGTGGCTGGAAGGATTAGGTCAATTGAAAATTCTAGTGGCCTCATCGGGGAAAGAAACCCCCAATCTTCCGGCTTGTAGCATAGTGCCTCAACCAACTACGCTATGGCGTGCTCCACAGGATAGAGTAATACATTTTCAAAGTAATCTGGTATTAATATTTGGTGCATTTCCTTTTTTCAATTTCGAATAATTTCTGAAGATCCATAGCGGCAGATGCCACCCCTTACCGCCACCCATGGCTTGCACTTACAAGTGCATTAAAAATACGAAAGAGAAAACTGTACGAAGACTCGTACAAGGTTTTAACACGTGTGAACATCAATAAAGAATATAAATGCCGTTAATTACTAATTAAGGGAAACAGTAAGTACTGGAAGTATCTGTTATAGTAATATTTACATCTTAAAGCGCTAAATATCCACGTGTTGATCACGTGCTTTAAGGGTTTAACATGATCCATCATGGAGGCTGTTAAACTATGATAGTGAAAACTTGATGGAGGAATGGCCTTTAACTATCGATTTCAGTAACAACGGCCTTTTCTTGTACGAGTACTGACATGAGCAAAAGAGAAAGAATTAGTCAAGGAAAAATACTAATTATAGAGAGATTTCTGAAAACTATACTCCTTTAGAGGAATTCTGTCTTCTGTAGTCTGTTGGTAGTCAACAGATGTTTCGAAACAACATATCGTATCCATTTTCAGGGTCGAAGAATAAGCCAAGCAAGAAACCAACCTGGAATCAGGTGGAGGTGATATGTTCTTCCGAAACGTCTGTTGGCTACAGGGTGTTATATTCCAGAAGAGAGAAACCTTCATAACCACAGCTGTGAGAACATTAAATCCTGTAAGCTCCTTTCATTTCTAGGTTCAGTCATTGCCACGCACGGGATGTTTGTTAAATCTTTCGCATTCTACTACATGCACGTGTCGATTCCGCGCAACAGTATTTCGGTTGCCTAGGTTACGTGCGTGACATAACTCACAAGAACATTAAGTTTTCTTTTTGAGTACTGAAACTATCGATCATAGTGCTGACAGTCTGCATAAGCCACTTTAATCGATCCGAACCAGTCTGCCATGGTTTCCCCTTTCAAGGTCTCTTCTCATAAACAGAACTGTTACCGTTTGGCCAATTAAACGACGATTTTAGTTCCAGAATTTTTATCGCCCCTCTCCCTCTCGAAATACTTACTTACTCATAGAGCTGAGCCCTTCTTGGGGAGGGGCCAATTCTGCATCTACTCAAGAATTTCCCAGGATTTTATGGAACCCGAAGGTTCATTACCGTGTTCACAAGAGCCATCCACTGCTCCATATCCTGAGTCAGATCAATCCAATCTATACCATCCCATCCTATCTCTCTAAGATCCATTTTAATATTGTCCACCCACTTATGTTTTAGTCATCCTAGTGGTCCCTTTCCTTCTGGCTTTCCCACCAATATCCTATATGCATTCTTCGTCTCCCCCATTCATGCTACATACCCTGTCCACCTCATCCTCCTTGACTTGATCATTCTAATTATACCTGGAGAAGAGTACAAGTTATGAAGCTCCTCATTATGCAGTTTCCTACCTCTGGAAATACTAGAGACCAAGATATATGCGCACACAACAATTCTACCAGTTCATCTGTGTGGCTGTTAATGCTCCGCTGGTACACTCACAGAACATGAATTACAAATATATGTAAACAAAGTACTCAGGAAAGTTTTCGAGTAAGTGGAAAATTAGGATAAGTTACAGCAGGAAGAGGAGCTCACTGGCCTGTACATTTCTTCTGCTATTGTTAGTATACTAGCAACAACGGATTTATGATAGGTTGGACACACTGAACGAAAAAAATACATCTTGTTCCTTATAACGACAATCCTGACTGAGGTGTTCCATGGACTACCCCCCTTACGCTTCCAAATTTCGGCACAGTAGCTCAAAACAGCACGACTGTCTCCTTCCAGATCTTTCCCAAATGAATGATCACCCTTCCATTCGAAATCATATACGGGTGGTCTGAGACACTGTAATCATCTGGAAAAATAAATATATAAAATAAGAAATACACACAAAATTGTGGTGGTGAAACCATTAGGAAAGGGAGCTGTATGACTTGTAATGTGCTTATCCCCCATCTAAGGAGTTCAGACTTGTGGCCAAATATTTTCATAGAATTAGTTCTAAGCGGAAACGGGGCATAATGATGAGAAACAAGTAACAGAGAAGATACAGAAGCGGAAAGAGAACCCGCGAAACAAAACTGTTGCGTCACTAGACTTGAGGCGTGGCTGATATCAGCATCTGGCGCCGGCGGCATAGGCGTCGCTACCAGACGTGAGTTGTTGCTCTCCGGAAATGCAAATTGGAAAGAAGGAATACGGTTCGTGTGTTCCACACTCAAGCCAAAAAACGCCTAGACGGAACACGATTACAATAACAGGAAGAGTGGCGGTAGAGTGGCTGACATTCCTGCTTCATATTCGGAAGGTCCCGGCTTCAAACTTCAGAGCTAACCTGACTGACGTTTATCGTGCTTTTCCTCACTACTTCCAGGCAATGCTATATTGCTTCGCTCTGCGTCGTTCCAATTAACTATGAAGCCGAAAACAATAAGATGAAAAAGACACAATTTGTTACATTTTCATTTTTGCTTCCGGCTTCATATTAAGAAATCACGCTGAATATATGAAATCTGTGGTTCTCAGGGCGGTGTTATTTCTTAACATCTGGGATGTCATTCCGCGTTATTTATAAACATTAACTAATGTTCAAGAGAAACGTGAGAAGCCTCCTTCTAACCTGAAGATGCAGGTATCAGATTCTTCCGAAACATTGATATATATCTACTATACCACACGGCAGCATATCTGAGAAGGATGTAACCTTCAATGTGAATGCTTTAAAGACAATAATAATTATTTCAAATATTTATCACTCCAGCAAAGTGCCTTCACATCTTAACAAACAAACAGTATCTTATATAACAATAATAATTTGTCCTTGAACAGAAGAATAACCGTTGCAGACCCGCCTAATCTGCCTCCACCCAAAGTGCGTGTAGTTGTCACAGAGACTCCCAAGTTCCCGCTCTTGACACAGTAGGATCACCCGGTTATGTACAGCAAGACGCTGATACGAGAACCAGTTTCTCTTTTCCGGAATGTCACTCAAGCAACGAATACAATTAATGACAAACAGGAATTGGCAACCGATGACGCGTTATGGTGGCCGAAAAAAAATTGGACCAGAGCCCAACAAAATTCCTTTACATTGCCTTCTACTATATCCAACTCGAAGACTGTCACGTGTTGTTTCTTGGATTATTTACCAGCTCTGTAGCAACTTCAGAGTTTGCCACAACTTCTCCTATGTCACAATCGAAATATGTCGTTTTTAAATCAGTCTTTATTCTAGACCGGATTTGGGGCTCACCCAGCTATCTACCCGATAGTTACAGGGGTCTTTGCCCAGGGGTAAAGCGGCCGGGACGTGAAGATTATCTCTCACTTATAACTAGTGCCGAGGTCAACAATGATGAAGCTATAATTACTTATGGACCTGAGCCCTTCTTGAGAAGC